AGGGTAACAACAGCCAGAGAGTGGATTCATTGCTGTTGTACACCTCTATGTGAGCGTCATTTGTTTACCTTTTTATAGAGATAAATGTGTTTTTCCGACCGAACCAATGTCATCCATTTTCTTAACCTGTGCTTTGTGAGTGTGCTGGGATTTGGGCATGAGAACAACAGGGCAGGTGGCCACTGCAAGAACATGCAAACTCAGTTCCCACTGGGCCTCGCTCAGGACTGAACTAAGGACCTTCTTTCTGTGTGGCAAACACTCACTGCTAACACTCAAAGACAAGGCAAGACGTATTTACCTCAAGCTGCTCGGACTACTTTTTAGGACTCACATTTAAGCTAATCAGTGTCAACGTTCTTTACCTCCTGTGTTTTTTGCTTTATCGTTTTAACCGTAAGGAACAGAAAGGTAATGCATAAACCTTTTTTTTTAGTTTGCGTTTGAGGAAAAGAAAGGGAAAAGCTGAGTGTGCAGACTGAGAGACAGAAAGCCTGAACAAAGCAAGAGACATGAACAGAGGCTGTGATGCTGTGACAAGGAAGACACAGGAGCACATGACAAGAGTGGTTAGTAAAGATGAATTTGCCTCAGGCAGCTGACTGCTGATTACTTTCTTACTGTTATGGCCTTGTGTGTTTCAAGGCAATTTGCCTATACAGTTAGCCGTAAAATAGCACAGTCTGCAAATCACTGGTGTGGCTAATGCTTGCAACCTGTCTCAAATCAAAAAGTGTAACCTTGCTTCACGTCAGAGGAGCTGTGTTCAAATTACACAAGAAGTGCTGATTCGAACCAGGTTCTGAGTACACCCCGAATTAAAAGAGCAAAGAAAAAAAGTCAAGTTTACAAAAAAGTCAACAAAATTTTGCATTCTGCATGAGACAATAAAAAAATAAAATAAAAACTGTGGCTGCTGATGAGACAAGTCAAATACATCAAGCAAAGTGTTTTGTTAATATAATAATATAATATGAAAAAGTACTTCACAGATGAAGCTGGCTTGTAAATGATTTATTCATTTATTTTTCTAAAACAAGACACTGATTCAACACTTACCTTCCACATCTACAGCGGGTAAAATAAGTATTGAACATGTCAACATTTTTCTCAGTAAATATATTACTAGAGGTGCTAATGACATGAAATTTTCACCAGTTGCAGGTAACAACCCAAGTGATCCATACATACAAAGGTATCAAACCATAAAGGTCCAGAAATGAAGTTATTTGTAATAATGTGGAATGGCACAGGGAAAAAGTATTGAACATATGAAGAAAGGGAGGTGTAAAAAGGCATGGAAAGCCAAGACACCAGCTGAACTCTCTCAGTAATTAGAAAGCAAGCCTGCCCCTTGTCAGTGCAAATTAATATTGGTTCAGTCCCAAATGATCACACAAGAACCATCTGATGATAGGTAAAAGTAAAGAGCTCTCTGAAGACCTTCACAACCTTATTGTTGCAAAGCATAATGA